AAATCACAAATAGAAAATCACAAATAGAAAATCACAAATAGAAAATCACAAATAGAAAATCACAAATAGAAAATCACAAATAGAAACTAATTAAAAATTTTAACCAATACAGAAAGAGCCACGATTAAAAACCCTCCTTGATTTACAGCGAAATCATCATAAAAACGGAATAAAACCAGCAATAAGGTGTCCAGATGCAACAGAACAGCAAAACCACCCAAAGCAACCAAAAATACCCATTTCACTCTTTTACCACCCGATTTTGGGGAGGAAATGAACCATAAATGACTAAAACTGAGCTGAAAAATGCCAATAAACAACATAAAAGTCTCTTCCAACCCCTGATATTTCAAACCAAGGCTCTGGGGGGAGAGAGAGGGAAAAGCAGAACTACCTCTCTCCTTCTCCTTTTCTCCTGTGGTGCCGCAAGGCCTTCAGGAAAAGCTTCCTTTTGAGGAAAAACCACATCTTAATTCCCAAAGAATTCCAACTGCAGAGCTCGGCCCCTGGCAAACAGCAACTGCGGCCCCCGAGAGCACCAAAACTCCCCTTTTGTCCCAGACAGATCAATAATTCCCTTTTTTCACAGGAGCAAATCGACACTGTCCCGCTGCCAGATGGGCCAAAAAAGCAGCCAGGGGGTTATTCCACATGAATTCCCACATCCCAGCTATTTATAACTTCGGGAAGCCACGGATTCCAGCAGAAAAGGGAACTTCAGTGGGAAAAATGGAGTTGCCACTAGCAAAGTGCTTCCTGTTAATACTTCTTCAGATTAGCAAATGAACCAAAAAAAATTAAAAATAACGTCTTCATCTGATAGAATAATCGGGTGACTCTCTGAACTGCTCTGTTTAAGGCTGGGATTTAGGCAGATTTAACAGTCTGGGATCAGTTCCTTATTTGAGTAAAGGCATTAAACTGATTTTTTGAAGTGCAAGTTATTAAATACTGAAGCCAAGACTCACCTAAACACCTTTACCAAGCCAAGCTGCTCTTCCCAAACACTTTTATTGCCATTAAATGAGGAATTAACATTAGGATACTTGTGGACACTAAAATAACCTGCCCAAAAATATTGCAAAATAGCATTAAATAGCACAAACCGGCTATTAATGGGCTGTTTATGCATTTTATAAAAACTCGATTATTCTAAATTTAATTACAAATTACACTTTCTATTTATCACTCGGGCACAGAGAAAAAGGACAAATTGGGGGAAGACAATTAAAACACTTCCCTGGATACGCAGGAGGTTCCACAGCAAGGCAGAGGACGAGATAATAATAATAATAATAATA